TTATTAGGTAAACATGCTGGGAACCTTCCGTGATGATTATTATTTATACATCGTCATGGAGTACGTCATAGGAGGAGAATTTTTCAGCGTCTTGCGGAAAAATCGGCGCTTTGAGAACGACGCTGCGCGATTTTATGCAGCTCAAGTTACCACCATCTTTGAATATCTCCACGGCCGCAACATCATCTACAGGTTAATTAAACACCTTTCACCTAATACTCTTCGGTTATTCTGCCTGATTATACTCATATATATATATATATATATGCGTATGTATGTGTATGTGTATGTGTATGTTTATATATATATATATATATGTATATATATATGTACATATCCATGTATATATGTATATATATATATATGTCTATATATGCTTCTGTGTGCATGTTATATATATTATATAAATATGAACATATATATGTATATATATATATATATGAAGAGGCGATGTTGTTTGTATGCAAAGGGATCTGAAGCCAGAGAATCTGTTGGTGGATTCGGAGGGATATTTAAAATTAACAGACTTTGGCTTTGCAAAAGTTATCGAGACGCGCACTTACACTTTGTGCGGTACTCCTGAGTATATTGCCCCTGAGGTGCTCTTGAATAAGGGTGAGTGTTTATGTATATATATATATATATTTATTTATTTATTTATTTGTAATTATCTACAATCATAGTATTTTTATGCTTGTCCATGTAACTGTCAATATAATAAGGATAATTAACTGCCTTTAAATATCTGAACAAACCCTGAAAAATAAAGAAATGATAAAAAAATAAAATAAGAATAAAGTAAGAATAAAGATGTGTTTTTATATCTGCATATTTGTGTATTACTTTGAGGTGTACATACACCGCAAAGACTTGAATTTTTTTTGTATTTTCAGGTCATGGGAAGCCCGTAGATTGGTGGACAATGGGTATATTAATTTATGAAATGATTGTGGGGTATCCGCCTTTCTTTGATGATGAGCCAATGGGCGTCTATCAGAAAATATTAGGAGGCCGCATTGTCTTTCCTAAGTCTTTTGATAGGTTTGTTTAATCTACACAAAAATACTCACCTTTTATTGCTTACTTATTCGTCGGCTTGGTTTGGCTTTAGATACATTCAGACAGAGAGGCAGATGCATATATATATATAATATATATATATATATATCTATATATATAGACATATATATATATATATATAGATATATAGATAGATAGATAGCGTTATGTGCATGCACACCTATATAGCATAGCTTGGTGCTTCTTCTTCCTTCCCAAGTAGCTTGTGAATATGTTTTTGAATTATTATAAATTGTTTGTGTGTTTATTAGAAATGCAAAGATGCTCGTAAAGCGTCTGCTTACCCCTGACTTAACAAAGAGATACGGTAATTTAAAGAACGGCGTTGCAGACATCAAAGAACACAAATGGTTCGCTGGCTTCGACTGGAGTTCTTTGATGAAAAAGCAGCTCACTCCTCCTTATAAACCCGTATTTAAGGTAAGAGAAATATATATATATATAATATAATATATGCATATATATATATATATATATATATATATATGTTTGTAGAGTGAAGCGCCAAGAGAGACGCGTGGAAGAAGTTGCTTAACTATTTTATTTATTTATTTATTTATTATATATTTATTTAAAAGTATATTTATTAAAAATAAATATATTTTTATTTATTTCTCAGGCTATGGATGATACCTCCAACTTCGACACATACCCAGAGTCAACAGAACAACCCCCGCCAGTTACAGGCATGATGGATCCCTTCACTTCGTGGTGAGGCAGCAGCAGCAGCAGCAGCAACAGCAGCAGCAGAAGCAGCAGCAAACTCGTGGATGTATGCGCAAGTGCATTGAACTGCTGCTGCGCCGAGAGAGAGGCAAAGAAGAAGGCTCAGAGGGCCCAGCAGCAGCAGCTGCTTCACAGGAGAGAGAATAGAGGATTGGTAATAATGTAAGGCCTTCCGCAACGCATGCAAACAGAAAAACAAACAAATAAACAAACAAACACACAAACGAAGCTTCATGTACACATACGCGGTGTATATACCGTATACGCACATGCATACGCTTGCAGCTTGCAGCCAATTCCGAATGCATGCATGGATATACGAGACAGAAACATACGCAGGTAATGTATACACCGCATGCATACAACAAACAACAAATCACCCAGAAGGTGAATAATGCACGGGTATATATGCAGCACAAGCGCTCTCTACTACCCTTGCATAGGCGCACTGCACAGCATTTAATTGGATAAGCAACACATGTTCAGCTACATGCATATATCGTGCAGCTGCAGACACACGATAATCCTGCAGGCATATTAAGAAAAAGTTATTCTGTTGTTCTTTGTCACACCTGCTGGCGCTTTCCTCGCGTTTCTTCTGAAATATCTTGTAATGAAAACGCAAACGGGAAGAACCGGGTGGTTTGTTTCGAATTATTTAATATTCCCAATATTTGTCATTGGCTTTCCTCTGCAAAACCAGCAGGAGGCCAAGCAGAAACAGCAGCTGCTGCGAGCAGTATAAACGTGGATAAGTACATAAAGTTGAAGCATAGTGATAAATAAATGCATTAATAGTATTTATAATAATAAAAATAGTTGAACACAAACACAAAGGAGAGGTATACATGCATGCATTAAAAGAAACGCCACCTTATTCGTTTTGGCATGTTTCTTTCTTTAACTTCATGAACATGTTTCAGGTGTACAGACACCGTGAGCAAGTTGAAGAGGAAAGCTGTTCGTATTAGAGTAAATGTAACCGTTTTCGTTGCGATCTTCGGTTAATCCCTTCTTTATTTCCTTTTATAAACCAATTAAAATGATTGAATTCAACGTAGCGAGCACTTCACATGCAAATTCTCGCCTGAACAGACACTTAAATAGCCACGAACATCATCATCCATGGGCCTCTGAGATGTGTTCTGGGCAGCAAATATGTTTCGACTGCGTCGCTGAAACCCTGGAGAGGCATCTTCCTCCACTCCGGAAGTTGAATTTCATACAAGAGGTTTTGAACGCCTTGCAGCAACTGCCTGAGGATGCAGCTGGGCGCGTTTGCCATTACCTCTTGCATTCCACGACTTTCTTGGATTCCGTCGTGAGCATTCTTGAAAGAGATATAAATATATAATATTAAACGAAATGACTATCTGATGAACTCTGTTTTGTAGTTGGATGTACTGGGGAACGAAGACCTGATGAAGGATAGCGCAGGTTTCGGCTGTCGTGCATTTGAGTCAGCGATGCAGTATGTTTCGACTTGTGCAGAGCTCGCAGAAATCAACACCCCTAATGCATATATCACCTCTTTTCCCTTCTATTTGCAGTGCTGCTCTGTTCATAGATGAAGTGGCGTTCAAACACAACGCACAAGAACCTCCGTACAGCGAAGCAGCACTTGCAGCAAAGCTGCACAAGCGCCTGCTGCTTTCATCTGGCCCTCCTGGCCGCGTTCTGCTGCTGCTGCTGAAGCAGCTCTTATCGCAGCAGATGTTAGACACCTCTACACCTCCTGTGCTGCTTCAGGTAGAGAAGTTATAAACAAATAACAAAAGCCTCTTGGTTGTAATATCTTCTAATTGCTGCTGCTGCCAATTGAATTATTTCATAGGATCCTGAACTATGGGAGCGACTAACAGCTTCTCTTCCTGCTATCGCGAAAGCAGCTGCAGCGCCTGAGGCGGAGCTTACGCTTTGCTGCTTCTCTTCTATTCTGAAGACAGGAGAAGGCAGGGAGAGTGCTGCTGCTCTCGTTTGCTGCTGTTTACCGCACATTGCAACAGCGCTGCGGCTGCTGCCGCCAACGCATGCGCTGCTGCCTGTGCTGCTGCAAGCTGTTCTGGATTGCTATCAAGTGCAGCAGCTGAGTCCTCATGTGCAGCAGAATATGAAGCTGCTGCTGCAGCTGGGGGAGAGCTTTCAATCAATATTTGCCTCCGATGCAGCAAAGGCAGAGGTGCAGCAGCTCGCGCTGCAGCTGCTGCAGCACTTATTCATTACTCTGCCGCATGCATGCAAGGATGTCTTCATTGAGGAGATCTGCATCGTTGATTGGCTGCTTGAAGCAGCAAGGAACGGGAAGCCGATTGCACGAAAAGGCGTGCAGTGTCTGCAGCAGCACGTATTTAATTCTCCTGCTTTCTTGCAGCAGCACCACCTAGACGCAAGTACGCATGCATGCATGCATGCACTGCATGCTATCTGCACGTATACACCTGAATTCATTGCTGCTGCTCTTCAGCCTTCAACGCCCTTCTGTCGATCGCAAGAAAACGAGAAGACTGCTGCTGGCTTCTAGCAGCCCTCTGCATTCTCGTGGATTGCAAAGCTGTAAGTAAATGCAGCAGCATTTGCATGCCTATTCCTCTGAACAAAGCACAAAAAAAACAATTAAACAAACTCTTTCAGGATTGCTGGATACCCGATGAAAGGAAGCTCGCCGCTGCTATCAACGCTGCTGCTTCATCAATTTGCAGCCCCATTACTTTTTCTGCTTTTATTAGCTTAAAAGATATTGAAGAAGGCTTAAATAGAAGAAGACGCAGCAGCATTCAAATAAATACAACAGTCAATTTGGAGTGGGCTGTCAGTATTCTTTCTTTATCTGCACGACTCTTCCAGGGTAAACAAAAACACAAAAAGTATATTAAGAGAAAATAAACAAATGAAAAAACAAATAAACAAACAAATGCATGCAGCTTGCAGCGATGCCGCTTCAAGAAACCGTAGACCTGCAAAGCTGTGTCCCAGTCTATGGAAGAATATGTAAGAAGAAGCAAAAGAAATGCATGCGTTTTCATATTGTTATTTACCTCAACTTTCTTTCAGCTTGCACGACTTGCAGCAGCTAATAGCAGCACTCAAACAGACGGAGAACCGCTGGCCTGCTGCTGCTGTCAGCAGCAGTTTCTTCTCTCTTGCACAAATAATATTATCTCTCTTGCAAATCCACAGATGCGTTTGGAAGTCCCCCGGAGATGCAGAAGAACAGAGAGTTGTTCGAGAATGCCTTCCTCTGCATGCAAAGATGGCATTTGCTTTCTTCTTCACTTGGAGGGTCCGTTCAAATATATATCATGCATACATGCATGCATGCATGCGATATATATCATACATGCATGCTTCCTTGCATGTGATATATATCATGCATTCATGCTTGCATGCATGGATGCCTGCATGGGATATGTATGATGCATGCATGATTGCATGCATGTATGCATGCATGCGATATGTACCATACATGCATGCATGCATGCTTGCATGAATTCGCTGCACGCATACATGCAACGAATTCATCTTTGATGTATTTATTGCGGTTCGTTTAGGCTGTCTGCCCCGGTGCTGAAGAGGAGCAAGTTGTGTTTCTCAACAGAACTTTTTCTGTTTTCTTTGCAAGCAGCGAGGGCAGCAGTTTTCCAGTTGAAGTATTAATGGAGGCGAAGAGGTTTGTAAGCTGCGCAGGTGAGTATTTTAAATTGAATTTCTTTGTTGTTTTTGTTTATTAATCGCAATAAATCGTTCAGAGCGAAAGGGTATTATCGGGTAAATGCATCTTTTCTCTTCTACTTCTGCACAGGACTCATTGCAAACACAGACGGCTTCTCAGCCTTTTCTTACGTCTTAATGGGGCCCCAGCAACGGAATCTTCTTTGTCTTCGTCTGCAACAGAAACAAAACCCTCTTTTCTGATTACTCTGCTGCAAATGCTGCTTCAAGATTGGCCGGAGAAGAGAAATATAGAGGCTGTGGAGTGCGACATAGCCGCTGGAGTTGCAGAGCTGATGTCTCGAATAGGTAGACTGATGTTTAAAACACTTAATAATTAAATTTATAAATTAATAAAGGAATATTCAAATGCGGTGTATATTCACCTGTTATCTTGCAGGCGCTCCCACGCAGCAAATGCAAAACGCGACGCCGGACTTTGAAATAATTTCGATTTCTCTTTTGCTGCTTAGCAACGGGTAATTGCATTCATATAAAAGCAGAGGGAGATATATTAATTAATGATTAATGGATGCAGCTCAAACCTCAGCAACAGCCCCCCAGAGTTAAAGGAGTAGGTCCTCGGTTCGGTGCAGCAGAAGCTCTCATATGCATTTTTTATTTTCATGTTTCTTTCTTGCTGCTACTTCAACAGGGCAGCAGCATCTGTGCAACAGCTGCTTATAACGTCTTCCGTCTCCTCTTTGGTTCGTTGAAAAGCCTGTTGTTTGAGCTCCTTCATCTATATCTAAAGTTAACCCGGGTGTATCGCAGCAAAGCAGAATGAAATACCCTCGGGTTGTCCTTTGCTTAGCTGGAGTTATATTTAAACGCGAAGACTTCAAACAATTTACGCAAAACGCACTCCAACTCTTCTCAAAAGTCTGCTACTCCCTCAACTTCGCAGAGTGGAAACGGTGGGCGAACAACGCCTTCGCAAAACAAATAAGAGAGGTGAGACTTAATATATTTTTCTTTTTCAGTCTTTATATAGATATATATATATATATATACATATATATATACATGTACGTGTGTACGTGTTTGCATATGCTTGTCTATATTATATATATATGTACACGTACACACATACACGTATATATATATATATATATGTATATATATATATATATACAACTAAATGAGCACCTCTCGAGGTGCATGCAAATCCCTGTATGTAATACAAATACATGTATGTACTTGTACACACATATATATATATATGTATATTATATATTTAACTGTTTATACCTAAATATATATATTCATATGTACATATATCAGGCCCTGTGCGGTTTACTTGGCGTTGCGAACGGGTGTATATCGCAGGGCCGGCAGTTGGAGGGGCTGCGTCTTCGTTTGTCTCAGTTCGTGCAGAATGATATTCTTCTAAGCGGCGAGGGTTTGCTGCCTTTGTTTGCAGACTCAGCTTTAGTTTCCTTCCCGGTGCGCAGTTAACTCCTCTCCATATTAATGCAGCCCTAAGGGTTTAGGAGCCCTCATTGCTTGTTTCTGCATGCATGCATGCATGCATGCATGCATTTGCATGCAGCAAATAAATAGATTCATTTGATTATATAAACTCTCGCAGGCGCTGATGAATGAAGTGCTGCTAGAGGAAGCTAACTCCCCTCACTGGCAGCCGGAGAGCGCTATCTGGATCTTCTCCCAGCTGCAGCAACAGAGTCATTTGCATGCATGCAGCAGCAATGAAGTGCTGCTGCAGCTTCTTAGCCGGTGTATAGCAGCAGAAGGTGAACGGCCTCAAGGGCAAGACAATTTGAAAGCAACAGCAGCAAATATAACTCTAGCGATTCAGGTAGGTATATGCTGCTGTCTGCTTTTCGCTGCTTTGTTTATTCTTCTTTATTATAACATACACCTCCAGGTCTCTTCACTTTTGCTTATTAATGATAAAGCTTTGGATGGAGGGAAGGCGTTGAGGATCGCTATGAGGCTGCATCAGCTTGCGGGGGTTGTTGCTTTATTTTCTTCATCATCATCATCATCATCATCATCTTCTTCTTCTTCTTCTTCTTCTTCTTCTTCTTCTTCTCCTTCTTCTTCTTCTTCTATTGATGCTGCAGTGAGTTTAATTCTTTTGTGTTCGCTGCTAGCTGACTGAAGACTAAATCTCTTCAACTTCCTGTCCCTCTCCTTCTCAGGGCAGCCAATCCATCATCACCGGTTTCCTCGCCGTCGTTCTTCAGTGTTTGTTCGTTTGCTGCAACGGAGCCCACGAAAGAGGTACTCTACCAACAACAGCAGCAGCTGCTGCAGCAACAGCTGCTGCTGCTGCAGCAAATCTGCATGCATTCGATTCCTCTCATCTCACTCTGTGCAGCTGCACATTCTCTCCGGCGTTCTTCACATCTTCTCTTTGTTATACGAAGAAGCATCAGCGCGATCAGAGACAGCCCAGCGCAGGCAACAGAAGAAGGAGCGGCTCTGGCGTTAACTGTCTTAGCTTTGCTGCTGATGCAGTCATCAGTGAGCAACAGAAAGATATAAATAAAAATATTAATAAGAATAATAGTTATAATAAATCGTAGTCTATCATTTCTAGGTGTATCCGTCGGTAAGCAGCAGGCAGAAGAAGAGAGCAGCAAATAAATCTTTTCATAATAATTCATCATTAATAATTCATAGTTATTATTAAACACCAAATATAATATCATTGCATGAGGCTTTAATTAATATGTTTTCTTCTTTCTTTAATACAGGAAGCAACTGAGCAACTTCCTGAACCGCTTCTTGCAGCAATACGAAATCCTCTATGCGATAATTACCCTTCAATGAACAGCAGCAACACAAACAGCAGCAGCAGCAGCAGCAGCAGCAGCAGATGGTTGGATCAGGAGTCTTACGGTTTTTTACTGAGTTCGCATGTTGGCGAGAACATCCGCTCGGGTGTCTGTTTGTTGTTGTCTGCTGTTTTTACTTTTCAGGTATTTGTTTGCATTTGCATTAATCAAATAAAAGAGACATTTGTTTAATTAACAAACAAATGGATAGGCTGGAAGATATTCTGATGAAGAAGTTGTTCTATTGATTTCCCAGTGCATCAGCGCAGCAGCAGAAGTAAGTTTAATAAGAAACAAAGAAAATAATAATAATAATAATAATGCAGTTTATCTATGTTTGCTCGGCTCTGATTATATCTCTTGCCTCAGAGCTGGACAGACACCGCAGCAGACGCTTCTATCTTGTGTCTCTGTTCTATCTTCACTTGCGGCTCTATCAACAGCCTTCTTCGTAGTTGTTTAATCAGCACCACCTTCTCCCTCTTGCCTCTCTGCAACAAATATCTCTTCTCACCCCCTGCGCAGCAAGCAGCAGCAGCAGCAGCAGCAGCACCAGCAGCAACTGCAGCAGCAACAGCAGCAGCAAAAGCAGCAACAGCAGCAGCTGCTGCTGCTGCTGCAAGAAAACTCAGTAGAGGCCCTCGCGCTCTGTTGGCAGTCATGGTGAGCATACCTTCACTGTATTGCTGCTGCTTCTTTGTCTATATCTATTTTTTATTATTATTTTAATTTATTTTTCTTTCACCTGCAGCTCTCTCAAGCGAACGCCATTTGGTTTTGCAGTCGACCTCTCTGTACACCTGAGGTAAGCCATAGTAAACGGGTGTTTATTATTATTATTATTATTATTATCTTTGCTTGTTTATTATTATTGTTAAGGTAATTGTTATTGAAGTACTTCTAAATAATAGACAAGAAGGGGCGTTTAAACATTCTCTTTTTCTTTGTTTATTTTTCTTCTTTTCTTCCTCTTCAGATAAAACAAGAAATTCAAAATATTGAACGCAATTCAACAAATGCAGCCTCTACAAAAGCAGGGGCCCGGCTGCTACTCCGCACTCTGCACGGTCAAGAGGAAGTATCTGCTGCTGCTTCTGCAGCTGCTGCAGCAACAATTGCAGCAGCAGCACCACCACCACCAGCTGCTGCCGCTTCATCAGGAGATATTACTAGCTGCTCAGGTGTACAGGCACCTGCGCACCAGTGCAGCACGCAAGACGAAATACGCAAGACTGGCGCCGCATCATTTCCTTCTTTCTTCTTTCCGCCGGTCTCTGCTGCTGCTGCAGAACAAACAAGAGGAGCAGCAGCAATCGAAAGCGCACTTGAAGTTCTTCTGATACGAATCTTGCCAGCAGCGAACACCGCAGCGGGTGCTGCTGCTGCTGCTGCTGCTGCTGCTGCTGGCGCCCCCAGTGCATGCATATAACATCAACAGCCCCAAATGCATGCATGTTGTCTCCACCCCTTAAAGCAGCAGCACCTTTTGAAGCTTTCTCTTATTCTTTTCTGTTTAGAGACAGAAATGAAGAAACAATACAGGAGAAAGACAAAAGAGATATACACTTAAAAGCACTAAATATTATTCTTAGGTCTGGCCTCCTTAATAAAATCTTTATGAAAAATACTCTCAACAAAATATATTGCTGTTGTATCCATCAAAAATATATTAATTTAAATATATACAAAATACACATTATTATTTGTTTCGTAGTATGCTGGCTACTCTGCTCAGTAAAACGAGTAAGAGAAACAAACTCTCTCTCTTCCTAAGCATATAAATAAACAATAGTATCATAGACAAACAAACTTCTAACTGCATTTAAATATTTATTTTATTTTCATTTGGCTCTCAGCCCTTCTAAACAAACATCAAATTATCTATGCGATAACAATCGAAGAAAACGCCGCACAAAGACAAATGAAGAAATCTCTCTGCATTTATTTAGAGGGGTTTCATAATACACATTATTAATTTGTAAGCTATCTCTATTCTATATACGCTATAGCTGATATATATATATATATATATACACGCATATAACTGCATGTGTATATGATAAATGTATATTTATATGTATATATATATATATAGGCGTCTATTCTACATTATTCATATGTCGGTTAACTGCCCAAACAAAACTGCAAAAGAAGCCTCAAATGAAGAGCGTGTTAATTTTCTTTTTTGTTGATGAGTGCGAAGAGCAGATTTTAGAGAAATAATAATAAAAGTCAACGAGAAAAAATCAAAGACGAAAAACACCCAAATAAGAAACACCCTACACGGCTCCCTGCACTCAGCTGCATGCATGCATGCATGCAGCAATATGCATGCATGCAACGCAATCTGCATGCATGCAACGCAATCTGCATGCATGCACTAGAAGGCGCGCATTTCAGGGCTGTGTGTACGGGGGTTGAAATGCGTTGTCCGCTGCGAAGGGAAAGTAAACATCGGGAGGGTTTGTAATAATCTGCTGCTGCAGCGGTAGCTGCACTGGCCGCTGCAATTGCTGCTGCAGCAGCTGCTGTTGTTGCAGATGCTGCTGCTGCAGCTGCTGCTGCTGCAGCTGCTGCTGTTGCAGTTGCTGCAGCTGCAGTTGCAGGTGCACTGGCAAGCTTGGGGCTGCATGCATATCCAGAGGCGCTTCTCTTATAAACAATGCTGAGGCATTCTCTGGGCCTCCCCAGGGCGTCTGTTGTTGAAGAGAGTTCGGCACAAAGGCACCAAACGAGTTGCTGCTTCTGCTGCTGCTGCTGCTGCTGCTGCTACTGTCAAGAGGAGCTGCAGGGGGGTAATACTGCGCAGCAGACGGGCGAGGGGGAAAGGGTAGGCCCCAAGGAGGAGGCAGCAGTTGTGGGTTTGAATCGCTGAGCTGTACAGACACCGCAGGGAAAGAGGGCCACTGGCCGCTGTAAACCGGCGCACCCAGCAGCTGCTGATTGCCGCTGCTGCTGCTGCTGCCGCTGCTGCTGCTGCTGCTGCCGCTGCTGCTGTATACCAAAGGCCGTTCAGTCAATGGGTGGTAATGAAGAGCCGCAGCTGCATCAATTTGTTTTTGTTTGGCGCTGCCTACGTCTTCAGCAAAAGACAGAAATTTAATCTGCTCGCACGAACCCGTAGCCAGCACGCGGCGCGGCTCCCTCCCGACTGCTGCTGCAGCAGCTGTTGCAGCAGCAGCAGCAGCAGCTGCTGCTGCTGCTGCTGCATGCTGTTCAGTCCTCAGCTGCTGCAGATCTGAACCACTACTGCTGCTGCTGCTGCTGCTGCTGCAGTAATGATGCCCCGGGTAGACGCCTCCGTCGGTCCTGCGTCTGCCGCTTCTCCGTGTTGAATTTTCTGCTGTCTCTTCTCTGTTTGCTTCATCGCACTCAGTGGGCCCCTCTACCGCGTTAATATTATTAATATTGCTGCTGCTGCTGTTTAAAGCCAGCAAACGGAGAGCAGCAGGACGCCCTGGGGTTCTGGGGGGGGCCTCCAGCATAAGGGGGCCCCCCCCCTCCCCTCGTGCGAGATAACTAGCAGCAACGCTGCTGGCATCACGGCTGTCTCCTTGTGCTGCAGCAGGTGCTGCAGCAGATGCTGTTGCTGCAGCTGCAGCAGCAGCAGCAGCAACAGCGCCTCCTTCGCTGGCGGATGGGTACAGCAAACGCCACAGCCAATTCACAGGGGGGGGAGAGGCCTCCTTGCTGCTGCCCCCTCCAGGCCCCTCAACCTCAGAAACAGCAAGTTGCTGCTGCTGCTGCTCCTCTTGCTGCTGCTCTTGCTGCTGCTCTTGCTGCTGCTCTTGCTGCTGCTGATTTCCTTCGTGAACCTCCGTATGAGTAGCAGCAGGGCTCTGACTGGCGTCTCTCTCGTCTTCTGGAGCAGAAGGAGGGACAGCAGCAGCAGCAGCAGCTTCTACAGCAGCAGCAGCAGCAGCAGGATCTGCAGCAGCAGCAGCAGCAGGCGCTGCTTCTGCTGCCTGGGGCTCTGCTGCTGCAGCAGTCTGCTGCAGCCGCAAAGGCCTCGAGATACCCGTATGTTCAGCCAGCTGCGCGATGCCGTCGATGAGGCGTCTGTACACCGGAGGACCCCCCAACCATCCTTTAGATTCTTCTGCTTCCTTTCCTGTTTCTGCTGCTGCTGCTGCTGTTGCTGCTGCTGCTGCTGCTGTTGGTGTTGTTGCTGGTGATTCTGCTGCTGCTACAGACTCGTGCGTCGGCGACGTTTGCTGCTGCGGGTGGCTGAGGCTGCTGCTGCTCGGTGCAGCAGCAGCAGCAGCAGCAGCAGCCGCTGCTGCTGCTGCATGCAGTGCAGACTCCGCGGGGGTTATGTTTACTTCTGCTGCTTGCAGAGTATTATTATTATATTCATTTTTCTGGTTATTGTTTGTTCTCTCTTCTACTTTAAATGTCTGCCAGTTGTTTATTTGTTTTACGCTGTCTTTTTCTATCGATACCCCCGCAGCCTCTCCTGCACACCCTAATCCCCTTGCTGCTGCTGCAGCTGCTGCTGCTGCGGCTGTTTCGCCCGTCGGTACTTCCCCCTGGTGCTGCAGCTGCTGCTGCTGCTGCGTTGCTGCAGGGACGCCGAGGGGCACGCCTAAGCTGTCTCGGTTTGTCGCAGAGTTGGTGTTTATTATTTGTTTATTGCTGCTGCTCTGTGCTTCTTTATTTATTTTAAATGCTTCTGCTGCTGCTGCTGCTGCAATTAATCCGAGAGACGGAGACCTCGCTGGCTGCACAGTGGGGCTCTCCAGCAGCTCGTAAAACTGATTGGAAGCACATCGCTCTTCTCCTGCTGCTGCTGTTGCTGCTGCTGCTGCTGCTGCTGTTGCTGCTGCTGTTTCTGCTGATGCTGATGCTGCAGTTGCTGCTGCTGCTGCTGCTCCTATTGCTGCTGCTGCTGTTCGGACATCAGGTTTGCTGGCGGATGATGCGTCTGCAAAGAGATGCGCTGCAGCAGCAGCAGGAGCAGCAGCAGTAGGAGCAGCAGCAGGAGCCAGGTCTTCTCCTAGGGCGTATTCTTGTAAGACAGGAGCGAGCGTTTCCTGTTTACTGCTGCTGCTGTTGCTGCTGCTGCTGCTGCTGCTGCTGCTGCTGCTGTCAGCTGCGTTCCTAGTTAGCAATGCGGGGTCGTACAGCTTTGCATTTACTTCGTCTCCCCACCTCTCCCTTCTTCCCCCGCTGCAGCTGCTGCTTCTGCGTGTGCTGCTGCTGCTGCTGCTGCTGCTGCTGCTGCTGCTGCTGCTGCAGTGCGCAGGAGGAGGGTCTGGTTCTGCTGCTGCTGCTCTTGTAAATAGGCTGAGGATTTTGTCTGCACCCTTAACAATTTTTGTTTGTTTTTCTTCTTTTTCTTTTTTATTTTTTTTTATTTCGCGAGTTTTGCGGAAGCGTCTGATAGCCCCAGCAGATTCAGCAGCAGCAAACATACTCGCGTTCCTGATAGGGGCTCTCCATGGCTCTACCATGCTGCTGCTGCTGCTGCTGCTGCTGCTGCTGCTGCTGCTGCTGAAGCCAACGCCTGGCAAACCTGCTGATGCTCCGCGGCGAAGCGGGAAAGAAACCCCTCCTGCTGCTGCTGCTGCACCTGCTGCTGCTGCTGCTGGACCAGTGACAGCCAAAGGAGCAGCAGGAAGAGACGAAGAAACGCCAGGCGGAGTTTCCACGGTGGCCTCTGCTGCTGCTGCTGCTGTTGCTGCTGCTGCTGCTGCTGCTGCTGCTGCTGGCTCTCCTTCTGATTCTGCCGGTTTAGCTGTTTGAAATGCAGAGAAGAAAAATGAGAAAAAAGATCGAGACGATCGCTGAGGAGCGGAAGCTGTCTGCTGCTGCTGCTGCTGCTGCTGCTGCTGCTGCTGCTGTTTGCTGTCTGTACTCTGCGGCTTGTCTGCAGCAGCAGCAGCATCAGCAAGTGGATCTTGTGCGAGTTTGCTGCCGTCCTCCCCGTCAGCCTCTTTATATTCACCTTCAGCAGCAGCACCTTCTGCTTCGGTTTTCAAGTTACTACCTGCAGCAGCAGCAGCAGAAGCAGCAGCAGCAATAGCAGCATCAGCAGCAGCAATGGAGCAACCGTATGCAGCCAGTTGTCTACAGCAGAATTTAATTTATTTGTGCTGCTAAGCAGCAGCACCTCTTTTTATTGTGTGCACTGCTGTTCTTTGTCTTTGTTTGTTTGTCTGTATATCTGTTTGCTTATTTATTTATTTATTTATTTATTTATTTGCTTCTCTGTTTATCTGCTTGTCTGTCTGTCTATTTATTTGTTTGTTTGTTTGCCCGACTCTGCGTACGCGTGTCCGCTCGTTTATTAAATCAAACTAAATTAAATTAAATTAAATTAATTGAAGCAATTAATTACGTTAATTAATTTAAATTAAATTAATTTACTCTGCTTATTTAATATCTTTCTGTTTATTCTTTTCGTCGCGGCTTACTTCCGTCTGTCTTTCCTTCTGTAGCAGCAGTGCTGCTGCTGGCTGAGGGCTCCAGCGAGTATGCAGCAGAGCTGCTGCTGCTGTTGCTGCTGCTCTTGATGGTGCTTTTATTATTCTTGCTGCTGCGTCTGCTGCATTCACTTCTTTCGCTGCTGCTGCGGCGTTTGCTCCTGCTGCGTCTACGACTTTTCTTGCTGCTTTTCCTCGTGCTGCTGCTGCTGCTGCTGCTTCTGCTTGTGCTGCTGCTGCTACTTCTGCTGCTGCTTCTGCTGCTGCTGCTGCAAGGGTGAAGCCCTTCTTGAACCGAAGAAGTAATAGACTTCCTCTCAGCGCTACCAATGCCTGCACACAAACACAAAAATAAAGAAAAACAAAAATACGTCAAATGCAGCAGCAGCAGCAGCAGCAGCAGCAGCAACAGCCCTAGCAGCAAGAGCAGCAGCGGCAGCTCCTACTGTTGCACGCATAAATAAATAAACAAAAAAACAAATAAACAAACAAACTAAACAAATAAACAAACAAAAAAAATGACTAACGAAATAACTAAACAAATACACAAATTAAGCAAACAAATGAGCAAATAAATAAACTAAATAAACAAATAAACAAATAAACAAACTAAACAAACAAATAAACAAATAAATAAACAAACCTGATCCCCAGTTGTGCAGTCGTGAGGCTGCGAGAAGACAGCGAGAAGAAGAAGAAGCAGAGAGAGACGAGGATGTCTTTGAGCCTCTCCAGCTGTTAATATAACCGACTACTGTCGATATAACAGAGTCTAAGCACACAAACAAATACAAAAATATTCATATACTTCTTTTCTTTGTAAATCAACAAATTCTTGCTTCTTCATCTACTACTCACGAGGCTCCTGTGTGTTTATGTTTATATATATATATATATATTATATAATATATATGTCTACATAATATATATATACATATATATATGTTATATTACATATATGTATACACATAGATGTGCTTCTACTTATGCAGACGCGCATACATGATATAAATAAATTATATATATATACAATTCAATAACTGTACATTATAAGTAAGCATGCATAGACATAAATAAATATATATAAATAAATCTATATAAATAAACAAATAAACAAACATATATATATATATATTAATTAAAAGAAGAGAAGGCTGACGCTGTCTCTGCCCGTTGAATGTCTCCACCGCCTCCTGCACCTCCGCGTACGACTGTGGGCGTCGCCCCGAGCAAAACTCTGAAGAACAAATAAATAAATAAATAAATAAACAAATAAATAAATAAATAAATAAAATTAAATATATAAATAGATAAACAAATGAAATACAATAAACGGCATTTATAACGCCAAGGCGACAAACAAAGAAAAAACAAAAAATAAAATAAAACCCTGGAACAAATAAATGTTTTGTATATAAACGCGTAAATATAATACAATAAACAAATTATAAACAAATAAATAAATTAAAACAACAAATTATTTTAAAATAAAAATAAGAAGACATCAGAAGGCAAACAAACAGCCAGTAGATGTAAACAAATAAATATACGCATTAAAAACAAAACATAAATAAATATAAACAGCAAATACATATATAAATAAACATATATTATATATATAATAATATAAAGATAAAAATATAAAACTACTTAAATATAAATATAAACAAGACAACTTACTCTTAAAAAAGGGATGATTCAATAACTCTTCCGCCGTCCCCCTGCAAGTTAAAGACAGACAAAATAAAAAACAAATTAAATTAAAGTAAATTAAATTTAATTAAATTAAAAAAACAGCTTTAAATTTAGATTTATACATTAAGCAGCCACATATGCATGCATGCATGCCTTTGTCCGCGGCATACGCATCTAAATATATTATAAAGTGCAGCTAATATATGTAAACATATAAATATATAATATACCTATAGATCTATTTACAATATATATATATACATATATATATACATATATACATATATATATATATATATACTGTATGCAGACATACTACGGATATATATACACTTATAAAAATAAAGGTGCGAATGTACAGACATTTAAATTATATGTAAAGAGGAGACGCCTAGAAGACTATAAACTGCACAAATAAATAAATAAATATAAATAAATATATATATACATGTATATATATATATATATATAAATGATGATACACTTACGTACGGCATATTTAGTGAAAACAGAATAAACACAACACCATTATGAATGCATGCAATCCATTTATACACAACAATACGCATCGCATATGCATATATATATATATGTCTATATATATATATATATATATGTCTATATGCACATATAGAATATATTCTTCAGAACGCACATACACAATATATATATATATATATTGCATACACGCATTATACATACATGGATGCCAATACACATATATGTATTATAGGTAGTTATATATATATATGTATATATATATATATATTTGTGTATACATTTATCTTCATATATACAATGATATTAAAACCATATAAAGCAAAATAGAGGTGCGCATACAGCTGAGTGCAGAGGCGACTGCGCATGCATTAAAATACCTTTCTTTAGGATTCTTTCGAAGACACTTTTCAAGAAAATAACAAAATGTCTTCTCATAACCTTCATTCAAATTAATGCGGGGAGCCGGCCCATAGACTATGAGGTGCATCAGCTGCAGCAGAAGCAATAAAACAAACTAATAAAATAAACAAATTCAATTAAATTAATACAAACTAAATTAAATTAAATAGATAAAAATCGTGTTACTACCGTTGTGCACTCATTTAGGCGTACAACAGAAAGGAAAAACAGCAGCAAATGCAACAGCAGCAACAGCTGCAACAGCAGCAACAGCAGCAGCATCACAATGAGAACGTAGCATTTCTTAAGTTGTCCTCATATCTCCTTGACTATATATCTACATATCTATATGTACACACACGTGCACATACATACGCGCATATCCATATATATATATATGCATACTCTGTACCCACTATTAACTGTTTCATATAAGAATAAATACGTTTTCATATATTGTATATGTACACATAATGCATATATATATACAATAAACATAATATGCGTTTTCTACTGCACATATATGAATATGTAAAATAAGCAAGTATACGTATATATACATATAGGATATATATATATATATATATATATATATTAGGTGTATATACACCTCGCGTTACCTTATCTAATTTTAGTTTGCTGGGCCAAGGCAGTCTGCCCATCGCCAATTCAAAGGCGGTGATGCCTAGAGACCAAATATCTACTTCGCACCCGTACATATTTGCTGTTGCTGCTGCTGCTGCTCCTGCTTCTGCTGCTGCTGCTGGTGCTGCTCCTGCTGCTTCTCCTGCTTCTGCTGCTGCTGTTGCTGCTGCTGCTGCTTCGGATGGTGCTGCTGCTGCGGCGAGGTCGCTGAGGGCTGCTGCGCCTCCTCCTGTAACGGCTTCTGCTGCTGGTGGTGGTGATGCTGCTGCTGCTGCAGGTGGTGCTGTTGCTGCTCCTTCTGCTGGTGCTGTTCTTGCTGCTGCTGCTGCTGTTGCTGCTGTTGCTGCTGCTGCTGCTGCTGCAGGATCCGACCTGCACGAACGGCGGAAGTAAGCAGTCGCCACTTCGGGGGCCATCCACTGCGGCGTCCCTGCAAATTCTTCATCTTTGTCTGCATCACCCCAACAAACAAATTAACTAGCTAATTAATTAATTAATTAATTAATTAGTAAAGATATATATATATATATATTTGTTTGTTTACTTATACATGTATATATATATATATATATATATATATATATCCTTCCGCAGATATTTCTACATTCACTCAGCCATTCATATTATATATATATATATATATACATACATATAATATATATATATAATTTACAGGCAAACAAAAATTAAATATAAGCATATTCAAGCATGAATAAATAAACGAATAAATAAACAAGTTCATGCATACATATACATGCATATATATATATATTATATATATACATATATATAATATATATATTTATTTATTTAATTTATATTTATATTTATAATGCAGAAGTGCTGAGATGGAGGTCTCACCGCTGAGCACAGAAATACCGAAGTCAATTAATTTGGCTGTTCCCGATTCACTCAGCAAAATATTTGCAGCCTTTAGATCGCGGTGTATGCACACCTCCTTCTTTATCTTTCCTTCAGGCCCCACCTCGCGTCCGTGCAAATACACCAAAGCCGAAAGCACATCTCTGTAAAACACACACATATACACTTCAACATGCATGCATGTAGTATGCATGCAAGTAGTATGCATGCATGCAGTATGCATGCATGTACTATGCATCCATGCATGCAGTATGTATGCAAGTTGTATGCATGCATGCAGTATGTATGCAAGTAGTATGCATGCATATTACTTGCATGCATGCATGCATGCATGCATAGAGTAGACGGCAGGAGAACGACCAGAAGAAAAATGTGAAGTTGAAGATGAGGCCAAAAAGGAAGACAAAATAATAAAACAAAACAAATCAGTCAGACAGTAAAATTATATAAGAACACGTTGCAGCGAAGTCTAAACAGCTGCAGCAGCAGCAGCTGCAGCAGCATCAGCATCAGCCGCAGCAGCATCAGAATCAGCCGCACCAGCATCAGCAGCAACATCTGCAACAGCATCTGCAGCAGCATCAGCATCAGCATCAGCAACAGCATCAGCATCAGCCGCAGTAGCATCTGCAGCAGCATCAGCAGAATTAGCAGCAGCAGCAGCAGGCAGCGTACTTGAGTAGGTGTGCAATGATATGTTCAGGCAGAGGCCCTGCAGATTTATAGAGGTCCCTCAGGGAGCCCCCAGGCAGAAACTCAGTAGCAAAAACAACGTAGGAGGGCGGCCAAAGAAATGCTTCGTAGAATTTAACTACATTTTCATGCTGCAGCTGAGATAAAGCTTTTGTCTCTGCCAGCACCCGCTGCAGATACCGCAGCCGCCCGCTGCTGTCTGTACACTGCGCATGCAAAGCCCCCTCAATATCTATTATCTTCAAAGCCACTTCATCTTCCTCCATCTCCACACAGCCAGCATCAGCCTCCTCTTCGCTACCTGTGCATACACCCGAAGAAAACGCACCCATAGCTGCACATACACCTGAAGAAGGCGCACCGGAAGCTGCACATACACCTCAAGAATGCGCACCGGAAGCTGCAGATACACCTGAAGAAGACGCACCGGAAGCTGCAGATACACCTGAATCTCCCTCAGTCTTTACAGTGGGTGTAAACCGCTTCGCTCTGAAAACAGCGCCGTGGGCTCCACGACCTACAACCTCCTCGACTGAGTAAAAGCAGCTAGCACGTGCAGCAGCCTCTGCTCTCCGAGCCCTCAACCCTGCTTCTGCTGCTGCTGCTGCTGCTGGTGCTGCTGCGTCGGCGCAAGCCCCAGCACCTGCTCCTGCTGCTGTTCCTGCTCCTGCTGCTCCTGCTGCTGCTCTTTCCTCAGGGGCCGCATCAGAAGAAGAAACATCTTCAAGTGCTGCTTCGCTCGCTGCAAGTCGAGAGCCGATGGGAGGGTGGCTGTCCGATGTAGGTGCAGCAGCAGCAGCAGCAGCAGCATCTGCTGTTGCTGCAGCTCCTGTAGGTGCAGAGTGCCTGCACGTGAGATCCATCTGCTGCTGTTGCGTCCCCCCTTCTGCTGCACTGCCGCTGCCGCTGCCGCTGCTGCTGCTGTTGCTGCTGCTGCTGTTGCTGCTGCTGCTGCTGGTGGCCTCTCTCTGCAGCAGCAACAACGCCTGTGCATCTCCGTCTTCGTGCTGCAGCCCTCCAAACCCGTTGTGTAGCTCGCAGCCAGGAGGGAAGCTGCTGACAATCTTTGCAAGACATCTCTCAACTCCTTGAACAAAATGTTCCACTCCTTTTCCTCCCGCTTGCTGTTCTAGGGGTTTGCTGAGGGGCTGAGGGTAGCATAGCCCCACACCCAACTCTGTCTGGTTCTCGGCTGTTGCTGCTGCTGCTGCTTCTGCTTCGGCTGCTGCTGCTGCTGCTGCTGCTGAAGCTGCTGGTTCCGTCGCTGTACGACAGGCATCGCCCTCCCCAGAGCTGCCTCCTCCTGCAACGCGAGAAGCTGCTGCAGTGTATGTGCTGCTGCTCCAAGGCAGAGACGCACCACCACTCAGCAGCAAATTATCTTCACCTTGTGCCTCCCCTGCACTCTGCCCCGCCCCTTGCGGGGGCCCCAGAGAGAAGCCCCCTCCTAAGGGGGCCCCCCCGGAGGGGCCCCCAAGAGGGGGGGCCCCAAGAGGGGGGCCCCCAAGAGGGGGGGCCCCAAGAGTGGGGCCCCCAAGAGGGGGGGCCCCAAGAGGGGGGCCCCCAAATGAGGGGCCCTCATCAACTGAACTGGGGGGGCCCCCAAGAGGGGGGCCCCCAAGAGATGAATAGGTAGGGCCCTCAGCAGGGGGGCCCCCAAGAGATGCGCTGGGGGGGGCCCAAACAGGGGGGCCCCTCTGTGCACCTGCATTCAGGAGATGGCTGAGGGAAGGCGAAGAGGAGCTGCAACGACGCTGAGAGGAGATGAAGTTTGTAGATCTTCGGTGACTTGTTTTAACACAGCATGTAGACGCAGACAGCTGCTGCTGCTGCTTCAGATGGTCCTGCTGTTGCAGCTGCTCCTGCTGCTGCTGCTGCTGCTGAGAGCCACAGGACGGGCTGTGGCCTCTGCGTCCACTGCCGCTGCTGCTGTCTCTCGAAACGGCGACGCTGCTGCACGGCACGGCAGCATCAGCACCAGCAGTTGCATCAGCAGTTGCAGCAGCAGCTGCTGCAGCCCGTCTGCTGCTGCATGCTGCAGCGGCCTGTTCCCCCTTGGTGGGGGGAGCGCCACTGGTGATGAGAGAAGGGCAAGAAGCGCGTCGAGGCAGCAGCAGAGATGAAGAAGGCTGCTGCAGGTTTGCTGCGTCTACCTCATGATACACCGCAGGTAGAGAGAGCTGAAAGCTGTAGCCTATCCCCTGCTGGTCTTCTGGATCGTCAGCCTCTTCTGCTGTGGCCTCCTCTCCAGCAAGTGAGAGAGCAGCAACTGATGCTGCAGCAGCAGATGCAGCGGCAGCAGATGCTGCAGCAGATGCTGCAGCAGATGCAGCAGCTGCAGATGCAGCAGCAAACGCTGCGTCACTCGCGTTATCAATAGCAGCGCTCTCTGCTGCAGGAAAAGGTGCAGCTGCAACAGCAGCAGGACCAGCAGCTGCTACCGCTGCTACTGTTGCTGCTGCTGTTGCTGCTGCAACTGCTGCTGCCTCGGGAACAGCTGCAGCGGAGGGAGCAGCAATAGCTGCCCTTTCTGGGGCAGCTGCGGCTGCAGCAGCAATATCAGGAGGCTCATCTGCGTCAGCTGCAGATGAGGAGGAGAGGTTGAATGGCGGCAGCTCCTGCTGCTCCTGCTGCTGGTGCTGCAGGTGCTGCTGCTGGTGCTGCTGCTGCGCATAAGCATACGGGGGCCCTGGAGGCCCTTGGGGAGCGTCTGCCTGCTGTGTGTTGTTTGTTTCCTCGTCCTGAGAGCAGCCTGCTTCGCTGCGTTGTACGTACACCGCAGGTTCAGCCGAAGAGCTGCGGGGCCCCTTTTCTGAAGCTGCACATTGGTTGTTTTTTGCGTCTGAGTTGAGGGAGCTGCAGCGAAAACGAGAAAAGGAGAGCTTATTGAATTTGCTTGAAAGGGAAATAAGGGGAAGTCTGCTGCGCCTGCAGCGATATGACGTGGAGGCAGAAGATGAAGGACCCACCTCAGGAGCTGAATGGGCCCTCGCTACTGCTCCTGGAGGTGCTGCAGCTGCTGCTGCTTCTGCTGATTCTCCTGCTTCTGCCTCTGCTGCTGTTGCTGCAGCTGTTGCTGCAGCAGCTGCTGCTAAAGAAGGCGAGACGGTGCCGCTGCACGGTTCTGAATATACGTCTGTGCGGCTGCGTATGTGCTGTCTGTATGAAGGGCAGTCGACTGGTAATGATCGATGTCTTTCTGCTGCTTCACTTGACCCGTAATAAGTGGTATTATGATTCTGAGGGGAAGTTGAAGGAGGGTTGAAGCCCCGTGAACACCTAAGCGAACGCCATAGGGGGGCCCCTACCTGCGAGAGGAAGGCGCTGCGGAAAGTGTGCTGCTGCCGCGATGTAGGTAAACTGAAGCTTCTGTTGTTTCCCCTGAGGGAGGGAGATGAAGCTGAGGAAGGGGGCCCTGCTGCATTCCTGCTTGAGGAGAGCTCTCTGATGTGTAGTCTTGGGGTGCTGATCGACATTTCTCTGTCTAAACACCTTTACGCACCCACAGATAAAGGCGAAGAGAAGGCTGAAGAAAACCCGAGCATGAGGGCGGGAGAAGATGAAAATCAGAAGAAACTTAAATCGGCTCCTGCAGGCAGCAAGCAGCATGTTCACGTGCTGCTAAGCTGCACATGCAAGGCGATTGATTTTTTAAGAAGAAGTGCTGAATTCTGCATAAACACCTGAAAGGAAGATATGAAAAGCAATGAGAATTAAGGAAACAGAATGAACCGCTTTCATGAAGTACGACGCGGCTGGTTCGTTCAGCTTTCACTTCTTCTGTACATCTTTGCACGCAGCAACCCTTGAAATTTGTTTTGGGGAAAGATTCATGAATTTTCTTTAAATATTCCGTAAGAACATCTTCAATACAACATTTAAAGCTCAACTTCCCTCATGTTCATTGCATGTGCTCTCACATATTGAGCCTCCGCGTAGGCCGCTGGCGACAGCCCGGCGGTCACTCTTGCGGGTTCGGTGGAAACTGAAAGGTGAAAGTCTTTGGGAAATAAACTGTTTTGAATTTGTTTGTTTCAACTTTCTGTGAAGTTTTAAGAAGAAGATCGATGCGAATGGCGCAAAGAAAGAAGGGAGAACAGCAAACCTAACAGAATACTCCTGATACCGATGCGGGAGAGGAGTATCCGTTGTGTTCAACGAAGAAGAACAAAAGGAGAATAACAGTTGAGTCTTTTTCGGTGATTTGCTGGTTTCTCTCAGTGAATAAGCACTAAGAGTATTGCAACGAAGGAGGCTCGCGCCCCTACTTCGCCTGCATACTACTACTGTCTTGTTCGAGTGCTGAAAGATGATGCCAGGTATAAACACCCGCTGGAGGTACACCGCGTATGTAACGAATTCTTCCTTCAACAGTTCAAAAGAAAGCAAATACAAATTAGAACAGCCTGCGCGCATCCCTGCAGAATGTCTTGACGTTCTGCAGTATTGCTGCTGCAAGTCTGCACCACTACTCTCAACTTGTACAACTAACTAGACCTACACAGGAAGATGAATTAAAAAAGAAAGAAAAAAAACTCGTAGGGGACTTATTCGTGAAGAAAGGAGCCATTAATGTTTAGAGAGTTCGCCCTGCATATTCCTGGTTTGCATTTCCTTCGTTTTCTGTGCACTTCATCTCTAAACAGATTGCAGTCTACTTAACAAGCACACACATCAATAAAATGTTTCCTTTACTGCCGTTCCCTCTGCCTCAGATTAGAGAGAGAATGCGAAGCAGCGGAGGGAGCTCCTTCAGCTGCAACAGAACGAAAACAGCTGACGGTAGCAGCAGCACAGCACGAATTGCTGCTGCTGCTGGTACTGCTCCTGCTGCTACTGCTGCTGCTGCATGCCACGCTGCTGACGCCGTTGTTGCAGTCAGAAGGCCCTGGGACTGCTGTTATTCTGAATATGAATAAAGGAGTTCTTCACAGGGAAGAGAGAAAGAAAAGATTTCTTCATTGCGTTTGTCTTCCTTTGATTTGCTGCATAGAACTGAAGATGAATTAAAATATTTTTGTTCTTTTTGCTTCTTTCTGTTTCTGTTGACTCGAACATACAAATTCAAATAGAGAAGAAGTAGTAGGATTAAATGGAGCATAGAGATGCGGCAACATAGAGGGAAAGAAGACAGAAAAAATGCAGAGACGAGCACCTAAGAGCGCAGTCCATACAGAAGAAGAAGCAGAAAAGCTTCTTTCTTATTTCAATTAACCTCTGCAGCTACGAGAAGCAGCGCAGCAAAAGAGAACTCCTTTACTCACTCACGCATGCGCCGCATGCAAACACCAGCAACGCTTCTACAGCCAGCGGACTCCTTGCAGCTGCCCCTGCTGCTGTTCATAGGGAGAGCTGCTGCTGTTCAAAGGGAGAGCTGCTGCTGTTAATCAAGAGAGCTGCTGCTGTTCGTAGGGAGAGCTGCTGCTGCTTGTCTGAAGGAGGAGCTGCTGCTCTTACTGCTGCTTCTGCTGTGCACACGGAGCAGATTATGCTCATAAGAAGAGCCTCTGGGTTTGACTGGGAGCTGCTCTTCTTCAAAGACAGCTGCTGCTGCTGCTGATGACGATGATAAGAACCTGCTGCTCTGCATAAGGCGTTGCTGCTCTTGAAAAGGCGCTGCTGCTAGAGCAGCTGCCGCTGCTGCTCCTACTGCTGCTGCTGCCGCTGCTGCTGCAGTTCAGAGGGAGTTCTTTGCCTCGGGGGTTGCAGCAGGTGGTGCTGCAGTGGGTGAAGCAGCTGCTGCAGGGTTTTGTTCTGCTGCGTTTCTGGAGACTTCAATTTTAATTACTCGGGTTAAGACAGCAGGAGAGAAGTTAACAAGTTGATCGCAGAGGTTTGCTGCTGCTTCAGACTCCGTACTAGCAGCAAAAATCAGGGCTTGAATTAGCAGCTTTTCGTGCTGGACTTGGCTGCGCTTGCCTACTCCTGTCTCCACACTCAATTGAGATCCTTCTGCTGAGTCGCGCACCCCGCTGCTGCGCTGCCGCAGCAACTGCTGCTGCTGCTGCTGCTGCTGACACCTCCGCTGCTGCTCCCTTATCAGCTCCTGCACGCGAGACCGCTGCTTTGTCGGTGCCTGATGAAGAAGACAGCAGCAATGCGGAAGAAAACAAACAAAAGAAACAGCAAAGCAAACTGTTCAAACCTGAACATACACTGTAGAAGACATGTAACAACATCAGCATACAGCGCATGCAGCAGCGCTCTCTAATAGCGCTGTCTGTATTCTGCAAAAGAATAATAAATGTATTAAGATAAATAAACTCTTCCTTCCAAAGAGAAAATATTTCAGCTGTACATGCAACTATAAAACAAAGAAGTCTTACCTCCGTGTTTGTCTCTTCATCTTGTCTCTTACTACCCGTTCCATCACCACCTTCATCATCAGCAGCAGCAGCATCAGCTGCTGCTGCTGCTTGAGCTGTATCTTCTGGAGCTCCTGCTGCTGCCTTCTGCTCCCCCAAAGGCTGCAGAATTGCGTCAGCCAGCGCCTCAACAACTGGCTGAAGAAATTCTGCTGCTGTGTTCGATACACCGCGCAGCAAACAAACGGAAAGACCCCGAGCAACGCCTTTGTCGCCTGAAGCACAAACATAAATGTATGCACACATATATATATATATATAGACATGTTTATATATACATATATATATATATAAATGTATGTAGGTATATATAAATATATATATACATAAATGTATGTACATTATATACATATATATGCATATATATATATAGATGTATATATATATATATATATACATATGTATATATATGTAGAGAATATAAAAATATATTTTCAGAGTGAGAAATGCAATAGAGAGGATGAAGAGTGGTATAAAGAGAGGAAGAAAGAGAAAAAAGTGCGAACAAGAGGGACAGCGGAGATCGATTTAAATAATTTTTAAAGATTTAAATAATTTTTCAAGATGTAAGTGATTTTATAAGTGCCTTTGTGCTGCTTCTTTCGCATGAATGATATCCGTCTCTATCATAATTGTTCATTTCTTTAACTTGTTTCTGCTGTTACAATGCCTCAAGACTCGAAGTGTTTAGACAGCTGCATACTCCGCTGGTGATATTAAAATATCGGAGTCCGTTAGAAAAAATGTTTTACCCGCTCGCCTTACTAATAATCATCACTGAGTCTATATTTGTATATTTTGTTTCTTTATAAACGCATCTTTTTATATCTATATCTATACATCTATGCAACTATATATATATATATATATATATATCTGTATATATATATATATGATTGCGCTGGAATGAGAGGGGTATAATACCTGATTTCGCTAGGAGAAGGGGCAGCAAAGACTCAGGATCTTTCTCTATGATATGAACGAAGCAATTGCCGCCCTCTTGTTCAGCAGGGCTGAAAGAAAGAGCGAGAAATTCCTTTAGCAGTCGCTTCCCTTCGTCGTTCTGCAGCAGCAATTGAATTATTCTGCTGCCATGGCGCTCAAGGAGAAGCTGACAGACGCGCTGGGAGGTCGTGAGCTTCTGTTGTCCTGCATTGCTGCTGCTGCTGTTGCTGCTGCTGCTGGTATCTGAGGGGCTTCTAACAAAATTAGAAGACGATGTTCGCTGGGCCCTCGTCGGACTGCGAGGCTCCGCTCTAGTTCCTTCTTCCTCTGAGCCACTCATCTCGGGGGCAGAAATGAAGGGAAGATCAAGTAAGACAATAAAATAATGAAGGAGAAGAATAAAGTAAATTCAACGGAAGAAGCCCATAGGAATGCGTGGAGCTCCTGAGAAGAAGAATGCCGAGAGACAATTCGTTGTTTGTATATAAAAAGAAGTTAAAGAGAATCCACTCAACAAATCTACAAATAATAATTTCTGCTACGCACTGAGTTGTATTCACGCAGACGATCAACACGTCGCAATGTGCATACACCTCAGCCAGGTCAACTGGGGGAAAAGAAAATAATAATTCAATTTTATTGATTTTATTGATGCTACAAACACGTTTTTATATAATTTAAACCCTTTTATACATTCTACAAACACCATATTCAAGCAGAGGCCTCTGTATTTTCAATCAGCTGCGGAGCTGCTGACGATCAGCCGCAGCCGCTGTATACTGCGATGATGAGTGAAACCCTGAAGAAATAATATTGAATGATATCTTCGGTTATTTTTTTAAATTACCTTTTTAAAAATAAATGAATTTAAAAAGGAAAATAAATTGTTTTCCCCGCTTATTATTCACATCAATGATCGCGTACAACACTCAAGCTGTTCTGTTGTCTGCCTTCCAAGTCTAGCTGCAGCCTTATCGAATTTGCAGCAAGCAATTTTGTGCATTTTGCAGTAAATTCCCTGAAGATTATTTAAAAAGTAATTTGTTTGTTATTCTCCTTGAAGAAGCCAGCGTTTGTTTCCCCCAAAACACTCGAGTTCCTTTCTTTATAAGTAAGAGCAATTAGTTAAGTCATTTGTTTGTCTTGTTCGTAAATTCAATATTTATTTCTCTTAAAACAATTCGATTCCCCATAGTAAAAAGGAGTTAAAAACCCCGCACTTCTCCAGTGAGGCAGAGTAACGGGCTGTTCCGGGATTCGAACCCGGGACCTCTCGCACCCGAAGCGAGAATCATACCCCTAGACTAAACAGCCACGAACGAAGTCGCCAAATTAATTAATTAATTAATTTTTAATTAATTTAGTTAATTAATTTTATTAATTAATTTAGTTAACTAATTAACTAAACTAAATAATTAACTAAATTAACTAAATTAATCGATTTATTTAATTAGTTAATTAACTAAATTAAATGGTTAACTAAATTAATTAATTTAGTTAATTAACCAAATTAATCAATTAATTATTTAGTTCGTCCTGTTAATTAATTCATTAACTAATCAATCAAATAAACCTTGTGTCACTGCGCTTTTCTGCTGTTTAAACCTTTATTTTTTGTGTGTATTTTGTGTATTTGCTTTTCCTCGTATGTTATTTATCTCCTTCTCTTTGTATGTTGTTTGTTTCTTCGCTTTATACTTGCTTGTGTCTTTGTCTTTATCGATTGTTTGCTTGTATGTTGTTTGCGTCCTTGTGTCGATGGTATGTTTATGCGTTTGTTTAATGCATATTTGCGCATTTGTTTTATATTGGCTGTTTGTTATATATATAATTATATATATATAATATATATATACAACATATATATATATATATATATATATATATGTATATATATAGGCGTATCCCTTGTTGTGTACTGTAATGATTTTTATGTATGTTGCTGCTTTAAAGGATGCCCCCATCTGCATGCAGCTGAACTCTGAATATAAGTTTTAATTTATTCCTTATTTCTCATTCATCAAAGTGTTTGCAAATAGAAACAAATGCATTATTATCTCAATTTCTACAGACGGTCATAACTATTTTCTCGAATGGGTATGGCTTTAATGTAACATTATTATTATTATTACTATTATCATTATTATTATTTTGTAGTGCTATCATTATTATATTTTAATGATATTGATGATATTATTGGAGTTACTTTTGTAGTTCTAGCATTCCCTCCTAGCCTATACACGCAGTGTACGTGTGCTCGCTGATTATTGCAGGTAAATTGAGGTAAATAAACTCCCATTAAACTCAGGAAAACAGGAAGAAATATAATTACAAACCCCTTGTTAAATAACAACTATAATTACTTTTTTTGTTGTTGTTTATATCCTTAAAATATGAGCGTGTCTCGCAGCTTGCAGCACTCGGGCCGCCTAACAACAACCTGCATGCATGCACCAAAGGGAGAAGGAAGAAAATAATTGAAAAATAGAAATAATTTTATTTTTAAACATATAAATTATTTTTAAATTGAAGACAACTTCTCCCAGCAAATGTTCTAAGCTATTTTTCACAGTCTCAATCTCCGCCCTATTCAGCCCCATGCACAGCTCAACTCTTTCAATTTGTCTGCAGTTCTTTTCAGATATTTGTTTATTCTTCTTTTGCTTACTTTGCCTTCTTTTTATATAGTTTGTTTATTATTATGTTCTTCTCTTTATCATGATCTTCTTCTTTTTCTTCTAATGCTATTTATTCTTTCATTCTACTAAACCCTCCACACCGAACTTGCAATCAAAATACTGCAGCTCGGGTGTTTCTGCAAAGAAAGCAGCAAATAATTCATTAATTTAATCTTCATAGACTCAAATGCAGCCAGACAAAGCCATTAAACTATCAACATGAACTCAACTGCAACGCGGGAGGCCCCAGGGGCCCCCGGGGGGCCCCCCCTCTCCCCCCCTGCTGCTGCTGCTGCTGCTGCTGCTGCTCCTAGTACAGCTGGAGCAGCAGGGAGGCCTCTCAGCCGAGTGCAGCAAATGCTGAATGCATATTACGACCTCGAAGAAGAGAATGACGCCGATGGAGAGTCTGCAATACCACAGAGAGACTCTAATGATAAGAGAGAAGCGTACACGATAGAGCAGCAGCAGCAGCAACAGCAGCAGCAGCAGAATGCGGCTGGATGTACTTTGAATGGAGATGAGAAGGGAGGAGGGAAGGCGGGTGTTTCAGGTGTATCTGCAGGTGCTGTTTCCGGTGTACCTCCACAGGGCTCTGGTTCTGCTGGGTCTGCAATAAAGAGCGCTTTGCAGTTTTTAAATGACTTATCAAGCGTTCCTCAGTCTGTATCGATGGCAGTCAGTGGAGGCCCCCCAGCTGCTTCTTCTTCTTCTGTTGCTGCTGCAACTGGCGCCCCTGCTCCGCCTGCAGCACTGGACTTAGACTCCCCTTCGTTTGATATGCATGCATTCTTTTCTGCTGCTGTAGAGCGCTGCTCGCTGCAGGAATTGCTGCGGCTTGCTAGTGAGTTGGAGACGGAGGTGCGGGTAATAGAGAGAGATATAGGGACAATTGTATACGAGAATTATAATAAGTTTTTGACTGCAACAGAGACTGTGCAGAAAGCTCGCTCCTCTATGCTTCAGGTAGAGCAGCAGCTGCAGTCTCTAGCAGAACAAGTCCGCTATATTGAGAGCAGCAGCAAGAAGTTAATGAATTCTGTTCATTCACGTGCTGCAGGGATTGAAGAGCTTGTCTCCTTTAGACAGCTGCTGGAGCAGCTTCAAACCCTCTCTTCTCTCCCGCTGCTGCTGCGGCAGCATCTTGCTGCAGCAGATCCACTAACTGCTCTTCAGGTGTACGAGCACTCTCGCCTCTTCCTTGCAGAGCAGCAACTCGCTTCTCCTCATTTGCAGCGGCTTATTCTTATTAAACAAGACGCCGACTTGGTGTGTATGTACACCGTGCAGCTCCTCAAGCAGCAGCTAGATGCGCAGCCTGAAGACACAAAACTCCCTGCAGCAGAAGCAACTCCGGCAGCATGCAGCAGCAGCAGCAGCAGCAGCAGCAAACTGTGGAGGGGGAGAGAAGACGCAGTTTCGCAGGTCTACACACACCTCTCCGACCTGCAGCAGCAGCAACAACAGCAACAGCGGCAGCAGCCGCTGAGCGCTGCAGATGCATCAAAAGTGCTGCGGCTGCTGCTAAGCAACGGGCAGGATCCGCAGGAGTTGCTGCGTATATTCCAGCGGGGTAGACGACAAGCAGCATTTGCTCTGTTAGATCGCTGCTTCGCTAGAGATGCTCCTCCTGCTGCTGCTCCTGCCCCTGCAGCAGCAGCAGCAGCAGCAGAAGCTGCTGCTGCTGCTGGGGAAGATGAGGTGGAAGCAGATGCATCAGCTGCCCCTGTTCGGTGCGAAGGAAAGGTTGTGAGGGCTGCTGCTGCAGATTCGCTGCTGGATGATGCATGCAGTCGGGTGTCTGTGCAGTACGTAGAGCACGTAGCACAAACTACTAAAGATCTTTTGTTTATTTTAAAGTTTATTTCCTTAACGCAAGAGAAGACAGCTGCAGAGAAGAGCAGCAAAACAAAGCAGGTGAAGCAGCAGCAAGAAGAAGAGACAGAAGCAGATAAGCTGCGCCGCATTCGATTAGCTGTACATACAGCTGAGACCTTTCAAGGAGATGTTGCAGATGTTGAAGGCTATAGGGGCGTCTCTTCATTTATTTGTTGTTTAATTGAAGCTGCTTTCTCCCCCTTATCAGCGCTGATGGCTTCTACAGTTCCTGCAGCAGCAGCAGCAGTTCGAGGCACCTCTGCTGTTGCTGCTTCTTTCTCCCGCTGCTTCAGCAACGAAGTCTTGCCGCTGCAGCTGCAGCAGCAAGCAGCAGCAGCAGCACGAGCAGCACACAGAAAAATTATTCTACAGGCTACAGCTCTCGCATTCAAACGTGCATATGCAACCATTACGCAGGAGCTGCTCGGAGCAGCTGCAGCAGCAATGCACAAACAGCAGCAAAAACAGCAGCAGCAGGAGGAAGAAGGCAGCACCGTGTCTTGTGGTGTATGGACACCTGAAGAGCTCGCAGATGTCTTATCTCAGCAGCAAGCAGCGGCTCAGTCGATTGTCGTTGAGGGCTGCGTCGCTCTAACAGACGCGCAGCAGCTGTTGCAGAGCGCAGCAGCAGCAGCAGCATCAGCAGCACCAGCAGCACCAGCAGCAGCAGCAGCAGAAACAGAAGTCCTTGTGCGGCAGCACATCGTCCCCTGGGTTGAGGGCTTATTTGAATTGTTTGTGAGGCGGGTCGCTCTGCTAACAAAAGATGTTCCTGCAGCCTTCAGCGGGTTCGAAGATGTACTTAGAGAGGCCCTAGGACAGCAACAGGAGCAGCAGCAGCAACAGCAACAACAGCAGCAGCAGCAGGAGGAAGAGGAGCTGTGGCTGTCGATGCAGGTATGTTTGAGGTGTATGTTGCACGTAGCACTGGAGGATCAGCAGCAAGTTAGCTACCGGCGTTTTGCTGCTTTGTTTGGGGTGTATGTGCAGGTGGAGGCGGCTCTGCGGGGGGCTCTTGCATGCAGCGAAGAGGAGAGCGAAGCAGCAAAAGAGCAGCAGCTGCTGCCGGTTGTGCTGCTGGTGTATGCACGCATCGGCCGCAGTCTGCAGCAGCTGGGGCTTACTAAACTTGAAGCTATCGGCTCAGAGCTCTTTCCTTCTCTGCAGCCAGGCTGGCTAGGCAGCACCAGCAACAGCAACAGCAGCAGCAGCAGCAGTAGTAGTAATAGCAGTAGTATTTGCAGTGGGGTGTCTTCTCTGCACCCAGAGCAGCCGGTTTCTGCTGCTGCTGCTGCTGCTCCTGCTGCTGCTGCTGCTCTGCGTCTACCTGCAGTTGTGCGTTTACGCGCTGCTGTTCAAAGTTTGATGACGGCTTTTATCTTCTGCAGAGGTCAAGAAGCAGTGGAGGCGGCGGTAAGTTCTTTAGCTGCTTACTACCTGCAGCAGCAAAGCAGCAGCAGCAGCAGCAGCAGCAAAGTGCCTACAGGCACCTCTGAGTGCTTCGCGCCCCTCATTAAGGCCCTCGACGCCTGCAGCCAGGAGTTATCTGTCCTTATGGACGAGGCGTCCCACCCAGCAGCAGCAGCAGCAGCAGCAACAGCAACAGCAGCACCCGCAACATCAGCAGCAGCAGGGCTTAAGGGGCTTTCAGCGAGCGCATCTCTGCCTCACCAGCAGCAGCAGCAGCATCTGCAGCAGCAGCAGCAGCAGGGGCTGCACCGGCGTTTGGGCCGCCCTCTTGGGCGACGCCGCAGCCCTATAGAAGTGGAGATGGAGAGGCTGTTTGCGCGCAAGCAGCGGGTGTATGCAGCAGTTCCCTTCAGCAAAACAAAAGCTTTAATGAGTCTATTTCGTTGTGCTGCTAGAGGACTGCTTGAATTTATTCGTGGCTGCCCCTACTTTACTCCGTATCAGCTGCAGCAACTGCAGCTAGATTGTGCTGCTGCTGCTGCCGCTGCTCGGGTGTACGTACAGCCTGAAGATGCTTCCGTCGTAGACGGATTCTTTGATGAAATAGTTGCATGCGCAGCAAAACGATGCATACACCCCAAACAGCAGCAGAGAACAGCAGCAGCAGCTGCTGCAACAGCAACAGCAGCAGCAGGCGTTGATGTCTCCTGTGAAGGCAGCAATATTCTTCTGAGCGATTACGAGATAGAGAGAATACTGGCAGCAGAGCGGAGAGAGAAGACAGAAAAAACTGCTGCTCCTGCTGCTCCTGCTGCTGTTTCCGACTCTGCTGCTGCAAATATAATTGCAGCATAAAAACCATAAGAAGGAAGCGGCGTTTATTATCATAACAAAATATTTTAATATTTTCTATTTTTTAATATTTCATATAGCAGCGGCTTCTTCCCTCTTTGGTTGTTCTGTTGTGTTCACCCACTCAGCTGCTGTTGCTGTTGCTGCTGCTGCTGCTGCTGTGAGATATAGATACAGAAACATATATGCATGAATATATATGTGTATATACAGGTGTACATATATACACACATATATGTGCATACATATATTACATAGGTACATATAGGCGTATCTACATATATATATATATATATTATATGCATATATATTTAACTGAGCTTTGTGATTTACAAAGGCAGCCTAATTTATTGTAGAGTGCGACGGGCTAAACAAAGCAAAACTGCAATAAAAGTTATTATCAGGTTAAGAGACATCTTCTTTGATATTTAATGCAATTGTCTTCATCATTATTATATTTCTTCGTTTATTTTTATTTTATTGTTTTTATTTTTCTGTGTTTTTTATGTTTTGGTTTTAGTCGAAGTATCTTATTTTCACTGGGCTGAGCGGTTTCCCGTTGATAAATAAATAGACATAATTAAATAAATAAATATAAATAGATTAAAATAAATAAATATCTAAATTAATTAATAAATAAATATAGGCCCCAAGTAGAAGAGACGCAATCATGTTGCGCCTTCCCTTGTTTAGGTTTGTTTTTGTTTTGTGTATTTCTTTTGTATGCATTTTTGTTTCTATTTATTGTTTATTTATTTTGTTTGTTGAGTACACTGTCTAACAAATGCATTAAACTTTGCCTCTGTAGAGACAGCAGAAGGCAGACATTCTCCTGCTTTCTTTCCATTAGCAATTACCCATACACGATCGCAACCTTTTAAAGAAGCAATATGATGTGCAACAATAAATACACAACTTTCTTTAAAATAATTCTTTAAAATAGAAGCCATAGGGCGGCCTCCTCCTTCATGTCTTTCTTCTCTTTCACGGGGTGTACGTACACCTGGTGAATCGGTTTGTTTTTTTGTTTTTTCTTCTTGATTTTCTTCTTCTTTCTTCTCTCCTTCAGCCCCTGACGGTGAGATAGAAACTGCTTCTACCCACAACTCTTCTGCTGGCGGCTCATCTATTAACACCATACGCAACTCTTTCTCTCTTAGTATTAACCGAGCCACAGACAAATACCGAAGCTGTCGAGCAGACAGGGCGCGCGACTTGCAGTTGTTGTTTGCATGCAAAGCAGAAGAAGAGGAAGCGGAAGAAGAAGAATTATCGTTGGTAGCGACGACAGTATTTAAATGAAGAGGAAATGAACGAATAAGCTCCGCTAAACCAACAGCAGACAACGCCATCCAAATCTCCTCTTCTGCATACACCCCCTAATCATTCATCGCAACAAAAAGACAAACAATCCTTATACATACATGTAATATATATATATATATATATATATATATATATATAT